GAAAAAAATAGGTTGCATATCTTTATGGTCATATGCGACCATAGTACAGTCGTCCTAGAATACTTGTCTAGCATATTAGTCTAGTAGTACAATTGAAGGAAATATTTGATTCAAGGGCATTGCCTCACGTCCTAGAACTTTTAGGGACGACGTATATATTCTAGTTATCGGTGACTCCTCTAAAAAGAGATATGTGTTATACTAGGAAATTAGATCCTCACATATCTATGAAAGATCTCATAAGAAATGGTGAGAACTCAAATGTATTGTACGTAATTATTGTTGAAGAGGCAATTTGCCTATAAATACAACATCAAACATTTATGAAAACTCTAATATCACTTAGCATATAACTCTTATGCATAGAGTCTCTATCAGTGCGTGAACTGATTGGATGTCGTAATGTTTACATCGGAAATTTCTCCTAGCGCTTTTTAAAACAGATAGACCAAAATTTTTTGTAATGTGCCCACATGCCATATTCTGTGACTATACCTACCAGTAATTTTACCTCTATTGTTCATTGATTTCATGTGTATTGTGTACACATCTCTATCTCATTGGCCAAGTGACTATTTTAGCGTCGACAATTTTGGATTCATATTTCTTGATACCCTTACACGGATGTAAGCCGCAATGCTTCACAAACTCTCAAGGGACGTGTTTAATTAGGATTTCTAAATACTTTTTAAAACTTTAGAGATTGTATTCAATTTATTAAGACTTTTAAAGACTTTTAAAAGTCTTCGACTTGAGATTTTAAAAATTCTTACAAAATCATAATGTATTTAACTTGTTTCAATTGAGTTTAAATAAACAAAGCTCTAAATGAAGTATATATCCTAACTTGCTTCCTTATTCCTAACTTGTTTTAATTACAGTACAAAATGTCATATTAGTTATAAGCCATAAGTACGCGGTATTATCGATTAGATTGATAAATTCCGCGTAAATTATCGAAATTATCAAATATAGTAATATATATATATATATATATATATTTATATAATATCAAATATGAAAAAAAAAGTACATATTTGATTAACCATATTCTATTAAGTCTCAACTCCTCAATATTATAAAAGATAAAGTATTCCATCAGTTTCGTATTTCAAGTTTGACATAATTTCAAAATTAGTCCTATAATTTGGCTACAGTCCGGTCCTATAATTTCAAAATTTAATCAAATTTGGTCCTTTTTATCCAGAATATGAATTAAAATGTGATTAAAAAATGACCAAATTTGATTAAAAAATGACCAAATTTGATTAAATTATGAAATTATAGGACCAATTTTAAAAGTGGTCAATATAGGGGTGGTTTTTTGGACAGTGGCCAAATTATAGGACCAATTTTGAAATTATCCCTTTCAAGTTTTAATTTAATATTCATTTAGTGATCGATGTTTTTGTTCGATTTTTCTGGTATTTACAATGTAACACAAGCACAATGTAATATGATAGTTTTTTCCTGATATTTTATACTATGTAATTATATTGAACCATGTACCAAACTCCTTAATCATTGAAATGGTGTTTGAAAACTGAAAAGGTTTAGGCATTGAGGTTGAAATTTCAACCAATGAAGAAAAGCCAAAATATAAAGGAAAGAACAGACAATCCTTACCTGATGTTTACCATACATAATCACAGATTAATGATGGCCCGTGCTAACTGGAATTAGTTGATAATGATGTTTCCTTGGACATATATGTAGGCAGGCAGGCCAGCTAATTATGTGTTTCAATATCAAATTACATATTGAATAGGACAGTAATCAATTGTGTTTGAACAAACCATTGGATACTATATTTATATCAATCTAGGCACTAATTCAGAATCTGAGTCAAATCACATAAACCCTTTTGCTTTTTTTTTTT